AACATTTTTTATATAGTTCTATGTTTTGTAAAAATATCTGCTTAATTTAACATGATTTGGCAAGTTCTCTCCAATCTACTTTTATATTTTCTACTTGCTAATTATATATTTTTTCACTTATACATGATTTTTTAATGAATTATATTTCTTATTTCTACGTAACTTTTATTTTTCTATTTTATTTTATTAACTATCTTTAAAATTTGTTTGACATTTTTTGAATTTTCAGGTGGATCATGCCCGAGTGGTATTGAAAATGAAACAAAAACGAAGTAGAAAGAACTTTGGGGGATTATTTCTATAACCTATGGAGGAAATGAGAGCTTATTGGTGGAATAGCAACGTTACAATCTGGCAACACTGGAACGAAGAGTACGCGCAGTAGCAGTGCTGACGCACTGCGGTGTGTGTTTTTAGTACATGCGCATTGGAAAAGTCAGGAGGAAACTTTGACAAGGAAATGCGGAGCTCCGGAGGCGAGGAGGCGTTGGATTTGAAATCCGCTCGCGCTTCCTGGGGCAGGCTGGGACGCAAACCGCGTACTTCACGTTGTTGCTAAATTTCTGACATTTCCCGAAAATACTTCAAATGATAAGAACACAAAAGTAATGATACAACACACATATACACACAAACATACGTTCTTGATATATTAGTAAGGGTTACATAATGTATTCAGTTTCCCCACATATCTGAGCCACAACTTGAAAAAATCCTTACCAAACGTAGTGTGCGATGAACGACGTTAATCACTTCGTCAGTCAGAAGCAGTTGTCCGCTTTACCCATCTATAAAGCAACACATATTAAGTCACAATGTTGTAACAGTACTTGTGGGACATTGTATAGACAACTAAGAATAATGTCACACAAGTTTGCCTCGGTTACTTTAAAAAGAGTTCAAAATTTTATAGGGATTACGAATTTTGGAAGGGTTATAAACTTGTGCATCCATAAAAAATAACACAAACAATTCGCCTTTTATCATTTAAATATTACCAGTTAAGGTATTAGCTTCTCGAATAGGTTATTTTCTTTCTTGCTCCTACTTCGTAAGAAGAGAAAATATTGTAATCGTGCGCCGGATATCAGCAAATATTCGACAAAAAAAACTTATTTTCGTGCCCTCCCAACGAAAAAGTGAATAAATCTTACCCCTATATATAGTGAGTTACCTTCTCTAACAAGTTGTGCAGTCAGAATCTGTTTTGTGGGTCCTTCATGTCGAAAAATGGATTGACGGAAAAACATCTGCTAGTCCGTGAGTGGCAACTCAGACGTCTAAACCGTTCAAACGATTTTCTCCAAAATTTATATTTCCCAATATGTTTAAATAAACTCGAGGCCCTCTGAATTTTAAACGGATGTTTTGATTTTGGGAGGTACATTATATTAAGCCTCAACGACATTTTCAAAATTTTCTCAAAAATGGCTCCAACTGTTTTATTATAACTTGTCCTCGGAAGGTGTAAAGGACGCTTCAGAGAGTGGTGTAGGTCTCATTTTCGTTGGAATACCTTATTTTTCGAAAATTGTGAATGTTCAATTTTTTTCGGCGTCTTCTTACAATTACAATAAAGAATATAGAGATTATTTTCTGAATCAAATATGTTCTTTATATTATATCATGAACAATTTTTCGAAAATATGAATAGTTTTGCGTACCTTGCGCAAAATATGGGCAATTTTTAATTTTCTTAAAACATGTTTTTCTCAACAGTCTGTAAACTTTTTCTTTAAATTGACTCCTCGTAGGAGGGCAAAAACGTGACGCTAGTCTCATTTCCAGCAAACTGTATTTTCGAAAATCACGAAACGTTAACATTTCAAAACTACAAAGGAAGAGATAGATATTTTTGTCTTAAACAAAGTAGGTTGTAAAACGCCAGCTCTTTAAAAAAGGTCTTGTGCAATTGTTTAAAAAAGCAAGTAGTTTTTGCGCAATTTGTGCATTAAATTTATACAGTTTCCAAAAAAATATTTTCTCAAAGACCATTCAAATTTTGTTCTTTACACATTTTCCACGGATAGAAGAAGAGACGATTATAGTAATAACATTTTAATTTTCGTTGAACTCTCCGTATTTTCTTAAATTGTAAAAACTTATTATTTGTAAACTAGTACAACATGGAAGATAGATTTTTGTCTTTAAAAAAATCTGTTCTAAAACTCAGCTAATTGACGAAGGTCAGGCACAATTATTTGTAAACGTTAGTTTCTTTTGGGTAATTTCTGTTTGAAATTAATGAAGTATATACAGACGTCCCAACAACTATGGGCCACAACAAAAGTTCTCAGGAGAACAGAAGTCGATCAAAAAGATATGCAAAATAAGTAATGTTATTTGAATTATAATATTCTATTGAAAATAGCTATATTATATCAATTTTACTCCACTATACAATTTAGTTTATCATACATTGTTACATACGAGGAGAAACTTTACTCTTTTTTTAAACAAATTAACATGACTTTTGAAAAGAACTAATTTTTTAATACAGACTGTCTGAGGCAATAATCTATATGTTCAATTTTGTTGTTTTAAAATGTTAACGTTTTGCAATTTTTGAAAAAATGGAGCAAGAGCCGAAAATGGAAACATATCATACCGTCCCTTATTACATATGAAAATAAAATTTAAAGAAAATATTTGTAAAGTTTTTTTGAGTACAATATACTTTTTTTGCCTACAACTCGCACAAAATTAAATGAAAATACTTATATTTTTCGAAAATTGAAAATGACCTTATTTCAATATATGTCTTTAAGGAACAGATATCATTACGGAAAAAATCTATCTTTATTATTATAGTTGTAGGAAGATACCGAAAGAAGTTCGCACGGGAAATTTAAAGCCGAATTCTTTTACTTGTCCCCATCCGTCACATACAGTTTTTACTATTTTTTGATTATCTAAAGCAATATAAAATCCTTTACTTGTGTAAATATTTATTTACTGTGTTCAACTATTCAGAGACAAAAAGTAATGCGTCTGTCTGTAGAGTAAGCTCTCTCTAGTTGGCCTGGCGTGGCCTGCTCTGCAATGCCCTGCGCCGCCTCAATGCCGAACTGCACAAACTCTCGCTGCTACTGTCACCGTCCTCGCCCTGCGCTGCTTTGGCTGGGCCCGATACTACCCGCCTTACCCCCGGGTTATGCGTGATGTCGACATTTAATTGTTTTTCTTCGTATTATTAATGGTATGTAACAGACACAGAAATATAAACTACACATGCAAACAGGAATCTGCAAGAGGGATGTTTACATAACACGTTTTAGATGATTGATTAGTTATTCTGGTCGCGTCAACAGCTAAGTTTATTAGTAGGGGATGGATTTTAATGAAATGTCATCTCTTTTCATTTCTCTTTAGAACAAGCCGTTTAATATAGAAATTCATTTTATGTTATGACAAAACTATATTACCCATTTTTATATGTCATTCTTTTGCATTTTTCATTGATTTCGACTAATAAGTCATTTCCCCCTTTTACATCGTTTTTAATGCATTTTCGCTGAGTTCATAAATTTAATATAATTTTAATGGTACTTATTTCAAATAATATTTAAGTTGTGCAACAAATGTGTACCACAAAATTCCTGGGTAGCCTATTGGATTTTTTTGCTCATATATTGTAATGTCAGACGTTGTGAGTACTATGTAATCTAAGGTTCTCGTGACGCCTATAGGCGCCATTGTCATTTTGGCCCATTTCGCGATAAATATAAGCAGCAAATTTTCTTTTAAAGAACTGTCCAAACCAAAAGTTTACAGGCTGAGTTCACTTGAACAAGAGGAACAAGCCTCGATTACTTCAGTAACATACCCAACAGCTTGAGTTGTTCATTTGAAGTGGTTTTGATCAAATTTGTTAACGTAATTTTTTGGGGGTGGGCATTTTTAAAGCATTTTAAGTCTCGTAAGTTTGTTGCATGTTTTTCCATCGCGGAGGGGGGGCAGTGATCTTACCCCGCTGGATGGGGAGATTTGGCGTCAACCTGCTCATTGGCTTACGGGTTTTCCCCATCCAGAAATCCGGGTACCGCCCCAGCCGGGAAAAGCTCTAAACACCCGACTGGTCTCCCGACGTGTAGTAGGGCTGAGGATAGGAGACGGAAGAGGAAGGAAAGATCGCGCGCGGTCCGCAGCCTGTTTCTTAGCAGCCGCAGCCTGCTCCGACGTTCGCCTGATACTGATGGGAGAAACCACGCAAAACAACCGATCAGAGCAGCCGGCCGCTAGAATTCTCCTCCAGACGAATGAATTCGACCTAGTTGACAAGCTAGTTTGACGAAAATCCTGCTATCATCGGGACTCTAACCTAAGGCCTCCCGGTCAGAGGCACTGCAGTGACATCACTCGATGGCCTGCGCCACCTAAGCCAATCATAACGTTTTAGAAATAATATGTCATACATTCAAAGAGAACTTCAAATAGAGCCCCTAAATGAGTATAAAATAAATAACTGTGACACGTTTTTTACACTTCTTCCATCTTCTCCTTGCAGCATAAAATTTACAATGGGGAAAAAAATTAAACAATCTCAAGAGAATACGATATCCGAAATGTATGTTAAAACCCCCATGAACATAAATGTCCACTATAAGAATATATGTTAAAAATAAAAATGTAAAAATGGTTTCACTTCAGTATTAAGATAATTTTTGAATGTATGTTTAGAGATTATCTAGATTTAAGAATTAATATTGTGTAGTAAAAGTTATTGTGCGAATTGTTGAGTTATATTAAAAATATAAGTATGAAATCGTGTAAATTAGCTAGTAGTAAGATACAAAAGTGAAAGGTTGTGTGCCCAAATGCTATGTATTAAAAATTAAAATGTACAAACCCCTGAAAAGCAAAACTGCCAAACAGAGAGAAAATAAATGTAATTGATTTATCTGAAAGCAACGTGTGTTGTTGCAGAGCCGAAGGGGGAGGCCCCACGTGGCGGTGGTGGCGGCGGCGCCGCTACGTGGTGGTGCTGTTGGCCTTCCTAGGCTTCTTCAACGTGTACGCTCTGCGCGTCAACCTCAGCGTCGCCATCGTCGCCATGACAGCCAACCGAACCGTCGTAGCCGAGAATGGCACCCTCGAATACGTAAGTTGTTTATGACTGCCCGCCTCCCACAACATGGAAGGGCATAACTACGGTAAATCGCTCTTCAATAAAGTGCTTGAAATAACACTCCATGACATCGAAAACCCGCATTATTAGTAAATAGACGTATTGTTACATACATGGCCAATCAAATGTGTTTGGCATCATTCAATCTATTTACCTCTGTGGTTCAGGTACAATTTGATCCATTTTAGGTGAGAAAAAAATTGATCATCGCATTCTTTATAATTATTTGAACAAAAACTGTGAGTCTTCGTTTCTAGACAGCAGTTTCTCGGCGGTTTTTCTTTTGTAACATCCAAAACGTTTGCTTACAGTAAGTCGAGGCTCTAACGGTTGTTCTAAGTACCTCTGAAACAAATCTACTTTTTACTTTCTCGTCTACTACTTTTGCAGTATAGAACAAGCCCCATCTCGATCAGGTTTTTGTCCAGTTTCCCTGATTCATTGAGCAAATGCTGAGATGGCCCCCTGTTTTGCTTCTGGACGTAAATGTAGCTTCACTATGCGCACGTTTTGTTGAACTGTCCTCACGCTTGTAATGTCAAGAGTAGATGTAAGGGCGAGCTGCTATTTTGTTAGCAATGCAGAAAAATCATACTTGCAAATAATTTTTCTATAACTCAGAAACGAAAATTATTATTTTTCAAATATTGCTAACCTTGCAATTTTTAAAATTTATTTTTATTTATTTATGTTAAACTTTTACTCATCTTTCAACTATTTATAGGTAAAATGACGGGAAGCGATTTTGGAACTCAAGAAAACGTTCGCAGATAATCTTTTCCCCCCTACGTCACATACAGTTTTTACTGTTTTTTTACTAAATAAATCTAAATAACTCTAAGTGCTTCAGAATGGCACAGACTTTCTCGTTCTATTTAGTTTCTTATGTTTCGGCCGGGGTAAATTTTTGGATTTTTCCCCACCCTCTTCCCAGCAGCTACCTATGGGCTTCTAAAAGGCTTTTTTTCACATTTTTTTTCAATTTTTTGGTATTTTAATAGCAGAAGAGAACTTGTGGTGCTTAAATAGCTCATATTTAAGATATTATTTCAAACTTTTTCTATTTTCGAATATTCAGGGAGTTCAATGAAAATGTATGTTAATGGAAGTGTAGACAAAATCTTATATTTTAATAGAAAGAAGATTGCCTTCTTTCATAACTAGCAAAAAGCCAGAAGTTATGACAAGATTTTTTTTATATTTTGACTCAAAATATTCAAAATTGGTTATGGAATATTCTTCACATGTCTTATTCCATTTCTTCTCTATCTCTTAAAATATTCTGTTAAGTTTGTCAGGATATTTTCTTACACTATTGCATTTGACTGGATGATATTTTGACTAGTGTGAAAAAAATCTCATGAAAATCATAGTTCATAAATTGTATACTGTATAAGCACATGCAATGAGCATTTAAATCAGGGAAACCAGTGAACAGGGATACAAGGACATGAAAAATCTAGTTTTTATTTACCATAAGATTATATTTTAGTTATGTCCATTATAATAATGATAATATGTTATGTTCAGCTCACAGATTTCTCTTTATACATTTATCAGCAATCTCTATTTGCGTATTTTGTGCAAAAAACACAAACATTGTTCATATTATGAAAGTCAAGAACTGAATTTAGGTATCAATTAATCTTTTCTTTAAACATAATTACATTATTTAATTAATTTTTATTGATTATTTTAGAATGCTAGGAATGAAAGTGAAGCTATGTTATTTCATTATAGTATGTTTATTATTTTGTAGTAAAAGTGTATTCAACATCTCTCATGCCACTATTTATATTACAATTATTATTTACAGATTATTAGATTTGTTCTTAGAAGGGCTTCTAATGACTTCCAATGAAGTTTATTTAAAAATAAAAATAATTTTATGGAAACAAACAAAAAAATGTTCAGATAAGCTCAAATGTCCTTTTCTCAAAAATAACTCCAAATTTTTCCACCAAAATTTGCATTTATGAATTTTATATATGCAGTAGCAGGTTTTTCTCTTCTATAGTATTTTAAGTAGTAATTTGTAAAATTCCTTCATTTATGTAGAATTTCATACATAATAGTGAAGAAAATGATACAATACAATTTGGGGTTTCAAATATTTATACAATTAAAATGTTAAAAAAATTTAACTTCTCTATAGCCACATACCACAAATCTTATTTTCTATATGCACTCTGGCTACTCACAATTTTAATATGTGCCCTAAAATTATGAGAAAATTTTTAATTTACATGAATTATTGTAAATTGGATGTTTTACGAATAATTTAATTTGTCGAAAGAAATTGAAATTTCAAACACTCAAATTATTTTTATTGAACTTAATTTGACAAAATAAAAAGTTATGATTTGAAAAATAATTGTCATGAACTCCTACATTAAATTCCCTATTGCAAATTATTACATCAAATTATTTTTTTTGTTAAATAATTATTATTAAACAAAGATTTCATGTTAGGCCTTATATTTTGTCATTTCATATATTACAGTACATGAATCACCTAAAACATTGAAATTAAAGTCTTCTGTTATCTAACAAGAATTGTTTAGATACTAAAATTTCTTTACAAAATTTCAGTCTAAATTGAAGAAGACATACATTGAGACAATCTGAGTTCCATTCTCACTAAATTGTAATACAATTTACAGTAATAATCATTAGTATTTCCTGTATGTTGACAGTGGAAATGAAATGAAAATACCTCTTTCACTAAACATACAACTCCTGTGCCAGATCTCTTACTTAAATCATCAGAACTGATGTCTACATAATAACCTTGACAGGAAATTATATCAACAGGAAAACAATGTGTTTCAGAATAAACTAGAATTTCAGATCTGAAATATCAAAAAAACAAGTAATTTTTGCATAATTTCTGTTGAAATTTATGCATTTTGTTTCTCAAAAAACCGCTCCAAATTTTTCCTTTAATTTTCTCCACATACATAATAAGTGACAAGTGTTTTAATTTTATTGGAATCACAAATCCTTCCAAAAACTATGTCCTTTGCCATAATTGAACATTCTTATCCACAAAATAAATATTTTTTTCTTTAATATATTTATCTGCACTCTTATTATCAGAATATGGTTTTATGGTGCCATGTAGAACTTCTTCATCTGTTACTTGATGCAACTGAAATAATTTAATATCATGTTCATTCACGTTATCTAGCACAAGACTGGTAAGAACTTCAATAAATTATTTTTCATATCTTGGTTTCATAATTTCTTTGCGCTCAAAACACTGAAATTGATTCCAAATTGGATTAAAATTACTAAGAATGTTAATTTCCAAATTATTTGGGCTACAATAAATTGGAAAGTCAATTACAGGAGGCAGCTGATTAATATCTTACAGATTACAGATATTCCTCTCAAGTGTTCATTCTCACCCATAATTTGTCGTAAATGCATGTACACTGTACTCAACATACAACTGCATTCAGCAATATTTCATCAATAATTAAAAGTTTAATATCAGTTCGTTTTCCCCTTATGGAATTTGCAACATCATTAGAGAGCGCTGTTCCTGCATGTTGAGACATAGGCAATGCAAATGCTGTATGTAAAGTCACCCCATTAATAAGCAAAGCAGCTATCCCTGATAGAACATGAATGAAAACTTTTATTGTTTTTCCTTTTTACCATGCAAGTTGTGTTTGTAATTGGTAATGAATACAATATTGATAATTATTACAAGTATTAACATTGACTTACTCACACGAGCAGATCCACTCAAAAAAGAAAATGGAAACTTTTCTTCTGATTTAAATAAATTAATATATGCATTAAAAACCATTAAGGTCTCAAGGCTTTAAGGTTTTCATATAATATTGATTCATCAATTGTTTGAGGAAAAATAAATATATTAAATCACTTTCTTTTGGAACTTCAATTTCACCTTACTCAATAATATGCATTTCTGTTTCTCTGATTATTGTATCTGCAATAAAGGAGTTGTATTCTTCAAACATACCATTAATTTCAATTAATTTAAAAAAAAATTATTGATTGTATTGAATAATTGTAAAGCTTCATCCAATATTTCATTGGGAATAATGCAGCACTTGAATCTATTACACAAATAGTTTCTGTATTTTAAAAATACATTAATTTGAAATCCAATTTTTTAAATCTCATCAATATCATTTCTCCATGGTAGAAATTAGAAAAATTGTTCATGATACTAATTGAACTCATCAACACCTAATTTATAATGTCTATATTTTATTTGTTTTCAATTTAATGGACAATTTGTCCAAATGAATACAAAAATTACAGAGAAATAATTACAACTCAATTACTCAATGACAGCTATACACATTCTGTTAATAGGGCTGTGTACGAATGCTTAGAAAATTTCTGAGCAAAAATTTGTTTTTTGGTATTGAAGTTGAGAACTTTAAAACACTATAGATTCAGCAAAAGTAAACAATTAATAGTATACTTTAAAGTTTTCGGAAAAACATCATATCAATATAAACTCTACAAGATTTCAATGAAGGTATGTTAAAACGTGAAGATATTTTACCCTATTCATGAGTTTTTAAGGAATTCTGAACCCTGCAAGGTATGCAGCACTCTAAAATACCTACGTTGATCTGTTTCAAATGTAGAGATACTGTTCAAAAAACAAGGTTACCAAACAACAGAAGAATACATAAGTACTTGTCTAATCATAATCAAATAAAGTGGTTTCAAAATATGTAATGAGTGCAATTCATAGCATGTACACTTCATAAAGTGCCTGATTTGCCTTATTAATTGTAACATGAAGATGATCTTTAAATGACAAGTTAGTTGACACTCTTTCAATAATCATAGTGTTAATAGTATAATTCCCTTCCATCAAGGTTTTAGTTCTAGGGAATGTAACTGTTTTACTATTAGAAGCTTTTAAATTAAGATTGTTATTTATGCACCATTTGACAAATTTATTTAGTGATTCCTGTAACACAATTTTATCTTGAGGAGATTTAATGATCTTAAACATTTTTAGGTCATTGACAAAAAGATGAAATTCAACATCTCTTATAATATCACTTACATAATTTATAAAAATTAAGAACAATAGGGGACTCATGTGGGAACCTTGGGGTAATTCAATTTAATTTATCTAACTAATTCATTTTATCAACAACTATTGATTCAAATAGTTTAGGAATTACATTCAGAATTGTAATTGGTCTATATTTAGAAATTCAACTCTTGTCACCTCATTTGAAGATGTGTACAATGTATGAGGATTTCCACTCTTTTGGAAGCAAACTTTCAAACAAAGATTTATCAAATAGAATCTTCAACAATTGGGAGTAGACAAATTTACATTTTTTTTTAATTGAAGAGATCCCAATAGGACCTGTTTTCCCTTTCAGGTCAAGCTTTTCAATTTTTTGTAGGTTCATCAGAAACTCTCAAATTAATGGAGTTCAAATCACAGAGAGATCTATCAATAAGATTTATATCATCTACCTAACTTGAGTAAAAGGCAGAGAAATAACTTGCAAATCCATTTACAGAACACTGGGTATTTGCATTGACAATTGAACCCATCCTCATCGAGCAAACCTCTACTCGTCTTCTTAGAGTTAATGAATTTCCAGAAGATTCTCTTTATCAGTACTGATGTGTTGTGTGAGATACTCATTAAACCTTGCAAAATCACCTTTTGCTTGGCTTTTACATTTATATCTAAGATTAGAAAACAAAGTATAATACTGTGGTGAGTCAAACATTTTGTAGCATTTATCTACAAGAGCTTACTTCTTCCTGAAAATTAATTCTTGTAGATCCTGACAATACCAGTGAGAAAACTTTGATTTTTTCAAAATCTTTTTAGTAACAAGGAGACAAATACCCTGATAAATGTAGAAGTAAAACATGGAAATAGAATCAGAGGAGCAAAGATTGGAAGATGTGTATAAAGCATATAAATCACAAAGATATGATTCCATCACAGGGCAGCCTGCATTAGTAAAGTCATAAATTCAACATTTGTCATAAATATCATTACATGTTGTGGAATACTGGTAATTCAAACCTAAGGGAGAATGGCAAGCATCAACAGAAACAACTTCCTCAGGAGAATGTGTAACAGCGTAACAAGTGGAATCAGGGAATATCATAAACTTCACTGTTTCCACAATCATCATTTTCATTAAATTCACAATACTTGATTTTTAATGCATTGCAGCAAGATCTACCTGGCAGGCATTATTTAACTGGTTTGGCCTTGTAGGCCTACTGTATTTTTTGGATAAATCAGTCATGAAAACATCACATGAATCACTTTCTAGCCTCGGCAATTCCTTTTTGGATTTCAGCATTACCAATTGTTCTTCACAGAGACAAGTGTTCAATGTTCTACAACTTTTTGACAGTGATAGTGATAGTACATGATATGCTGCTTTGTGATAAGACCTTCTAAATTTTAATTTAGTATTCTGATAACCTTCTTTTGTGTCTTTTGCAGGTTCATCTTAAAGTGTCGATTAACCAGAATCAATTTTACTGACGTTATTTTCAACATACAATGCTTCACCATGTTCTTTAAGGATGAACGTGAATAGTATTTGACTCAAACATATGCAACATATCAATATTTTAATATTTAATAAATTTATTGGTACTTCTATGATTTGCCTCTTCAGGAACACTTGACTTCAAGTTAAGGTGTACTTCAGTGCCAGAATGTATTCAGTTTCTGATATTTGTAGTTTTTCAAGAATACTTTGGAAGTATACCAAATCAATAAAAGGAATGCATCCATTTATTAATATTTTTTTGGCAATTTCTTGTAATTGGGAGGTAACATCATCTGCAGACAGCGGTTCTAAAAACTGTGTCATAACTGGAACTGGGAAATTAAATCTACATTACAGGATCACTTCTATTAAAATATTAAAAAACTTTTACTTTCTTGCTCTTACTTCGTAGGAAGAGAAAGTGTTTTAATCGTGTGCTGGCGAATTTTTGCTAGAAAAACTCTGGTTAATAAAAAGTGGATAAATCTTGTTGCTATATGTAGTAAATTAATTTCCTCTAACTTGTGGTGTAGCCAGAAGCCGTGTTTTGTGGGTCCTTGATACCATAAAATCGAAAAAATAGATTGAAGGCTAAACTTGTCTGTCTGTCTGTCTGTCTGTCTGTCCGTCCATCTTTCGGTCCGTCCGTCGGTGGTCAACAGCGCCAGCACATAAACCGTTCAGACGATTTTCTCGAAAATTGATTTTCGCGATCGATCTAAAAGAACTCATGGCTTTGCGAATTTGAAATGGATTATTTTTAAGGGTACTTTACATGAGCCTTACAAGTTTTTAACATTTTTCAAAAATGGCTTCAATTTTTTACTAAATTTTGTCAATGGATCGCGTAAAGAAAGCATAATAGAACGGTGACATGACCCTCGTTTCGTTGATATCCCTAATGTTATGAAAATTGCAAAAGTTCCGTTTTTGCGGCGTTTTTCTACAGCTACAATATTGAAGATAGATATTTTTTTCCTAAATGAAATCTGTTCTTTAAGGACACGTCTTGAAATAAAGTTATGTTCAACTTTTCGACAATGTGAATAGTTTTCGTGTCATTTTGCGTAAAATCTAGACAATTTAAAAAATTTAACTTTTTTTCTCAAAAACGGCTCCACATGTTTTTCTTTAAATTTTATTATCGTATGTATAGAAAAACGAAGATGCTCTTTTATTATAATCTGTTTGAATCAATTGAATTACATAATTATTTCACCAAAATGATAAAACTACATAAAATATCGCACGACGACAAGCATCAGCACCGTTATACTATTAATTTGAACGGTGCGGCCTACTAAAATGGTTGGGTGTGATTTCGCAGGAGCAAGAGTTCGCGTGGGACTCGAAGATGCAGGGGCTGCTGCTGAGCGCCTTCTTCTGGGGCTACCTCGTCACGCAGATCCCGGGCGGGTGGCTGGCGGCGCGCGTGGGCGGCAACCGCCTGTTCGGCTTCGGGCTGGCGGCCACCGCCCTCCTCACCCTCCTCACGCCCCCGCTCGCCCGCGCGGGCGCCTACTGGCTGCTGGCCCTGCGCGTCGCGGAGGGCCTCTTCGAGGTGAGGAACTTCACTCCTTTCCCTCTTCACGCCCACGAGTGCGCTCATACGTCTCTACATACGGACCACTGTGGGATAAGTTTATGGTCTCCGGCCGACAAAGATGGCTCAAGGCACTAACTGATGTCACTGCAGTGCCTCTGACCGGGAGGTCCTACGGTTCCATTCCCGACCAAGACAGGACCATCACCACTAGATACATAACTAGGTCGGATTCAGTCGCTGTCTGGAGGAAAATTCTAGTGATCGACTGTTTTGATTGGTTCCGTGTTTCCTCACCCCGCACCCCCAAAAAATGGGCTAAGGACCGCACGCGATATTTCCTTCCCCTATCCGCACCTCGTACTTACGCACACACACACTCGCACTACACGACCACACGTACCGGGAGACTATTCAGGAACTTAGAGCTTGGCCTGATGAGCGGTGGCCAGCTGGTGGGAAATACCCTAGCTCTGGAAAACATCGCAAGCCGACGAGTATGTCGGCTCTGCATCTCGCCATTCACTAGGAAATGACCACCACCTCTCGCGATAAAAAACATGCACTACACGTACGGGACAAATGACCGTAGCAGCTAACGTTCCAAGAATCTCGAATCAAACAATAAAAAGAAATCCTTGTCTCTGGGCCCTTCGTAATTCATACGAACAAATCCTCATATAACGACTTGAGAAATGCAGTTCACTGTTTCCTAATGTTAGTCTTAAAATTGAAATAAGAATAAAAAGGTATTTTCCCAAACTTTCGGGGTATTTTGTAAACACTACAATTCAATACACCAAACAAACTCTGGTGCAAACAGTCCTAGCACAAAAAATCAAAATTACTCAAAAAAGTGCTAATCTAACATATTACAATATGTATATTATTGGAAACGTCTTTTTACACTCGCCATTATATTTATATTTCCTTTTGAAAAACGTTACCACAATATCTCGTAAAATACAAGTGCTAAAATATATACTAATATATGTATCAATTAGTCCCACTTCCTCATGCACTGTCGTGAAAAATGCATTGAAATCACTTTAACTGTTCAAAATCTGAAAGAGTTGCTAAAGTTAAGTGGCTCTGTATAATACGAGTAATTAGTTGCGTCTTCGCAACACGATTCAGCGGCCTTTCGGGCATTGAGCGCGTCCGTCGTTAAGTGTAGTCTTTTGTCTTGGAGGGTCCCAGCCAGTGATCTGTGTGCGCAGGGCGTGACGTTCCCGTGCATGCACGCCGTGTGGGCGCGCTGGGCCCCGCCGCTGGAGCGCAGCCGCATGGCGGCCATCGCCTTCTCCGGCAGCTACGTGGGCACCGTCGTCGCCATGCCCGTCTGCGGCCTGCTCGCCAACACCGTCGGCTGGCCCTCCATCTTCTACGTCTTCGGTGAGTAAAACAGGGTAAAGGTAGTCTGAATGCACGCACCGACGACTGGCCTCCCATCATCTACGTTATCGGGGAGTAAAACAAAATTAAGGTAGTGTGCTTGACTATACCAACGACTGGCCCTACATCTTTTATGTCTTCCGTGAGTAAAACGACGTGAAGGCTGTTGCCTTGATGACGAATTCGTGTGGACATTTAATTGGCTGTCCGGGTGACGTCGCGTCCATGTCGACGTTTCGGTCGCCATTCTGCGACCTTCCTTGGGACGTAATGCTGTGGAAGGTATCAGAAGAGCGACCAAAACGTCGGCACCTTCGCCATGGACGCGGCGTCACCCGGACAGCCAATTAAATGCCGATTCCGGCAGCAGAAGCCTACGCTCTCAAATTCGTGTGGTACTTTGTCTTTGACTGTTTTTGTGATTTTTTTTCTTGAAGGACGGAGCGTGGGTTACTTATTTTTCAAAGAAATTTCAAACAAGTCTCATTGTAATTTGAAATTTATTTAGGGATTACGTAGTTCTTGTTGAAAACCAACCCATTTTATTTGATAGTTATGATTACTGCGCATATAAATGAGTCACGTGATGCAAACATGAAATGGGTTTTCGGGAACTGAAGAGGTTCCTCCTGAGAGAGGTTTTATGTTACGAAATTGAAGCAATACCAAGCGAGGCATTGAATTGACCAAGCGTGTCATTAGAATTTCACGAGGTCTACGACGAGAGACAGGACTTAACACATCTATTGCTGGTTCAGGGGGAGAATTTTTCTTATTAGCGATGACAAAAAAAGAAAACAAAATAGTTTCGTACGACCGCAACAACTACGTACTACTGACCTTATTGATTCATTCAATAATTTATATTCTTGAATTAAACAAAAATGAAAATCAGTGAGGCTCTCTTAAAAATAGTGTATGCCATTCGTGGTAAAAGTGGTTTTATTTTATTCATACTCCGCTTATCGACATCGTGTCACAATCATTCCAACTCGCAACATAAAATGTCATTTTTATCACTAGTTGTATAAATATTATTTTATGTGAAATTAACAACGTTATATTCTCCAGGAGAAAAACGTGTGCATTAAAACCACCACTGTGCCCTTTGTCTGCGATTTCATTAACAGGTAAGAGTGTTTATACGTAAATTTGGCACTTCTTCATGTCAATAATTTTTTTTATCAATTGAAATGTAGTTCAATTTTCGCACGAAACTGTTCATTAGTTAATGAACATTTTGCTATTGAAAAAATCTATTGACAGGGCATGCAAACCCTTGTGCCATTTGCGTCGCCTGCATTCTGCTTCGCACTACGCGATGTCTTGACATTCAACTCAAGCGGCAGACTGCGCGAGTGTCCGCGAAACGCCC